ATTAAGGCGAATAGGGAGGTGTAAATGGGGGGTTATGGGGTGAAAGAGCCGTTGGTGGGGCCCAAAACCCGTTGCCCAACGGCTCTCAATGGCTATAATTTTCAAAATTTTTCAGATTAAAAAAAAAAAAAAAAAAAAGACGAAACTGGACGGAACAGGGACTAACCGGACCGGGACGGACCGGTAAATCCTGGTTTCCGTCCCGCTACCCCTCCCGGACCGGAACAATTCTGGATCTAACCGGTACTATCCGGAACCGAGACGGAACCGGTAACGGACCGGAACCGGTACCGGTACCTCCCGGTTCCGTTGCCACCCTTAGGCACACGCACACATGTTTCATCGTTAAATATAGTGGAACACAGAGCGAAAGGAAAAGTATTCAAAGGATCCTTATTACTACACCAGTAACTACATTACCACTCGTGGGTGTGGTGGGATGCTTGAAATCTCTCCATCTTTAATTAAAAGTTTCAGTTTTCAGCCCGGATAATGGAGAACTTTTGGTGGGGAGCACTTTGACAAGTATGTGACGTGAATTTGGATTAGTCTAGCCAATGAGTTTCAGATACTAAATGTCTATAGAGAAAAAACTGTAAAATCCTTTTCTTGCAATCATTATGGTTGTATGGGAACTCAAAACCAAACATTTTACATGGTTTGGTATAGCCATCATTGTGTACTTCAGTGTTTTGTTCTAGGGTTGTGAAGGGAGAGATATCGGATTTATCGTGTGACAAAAGAAGAGAAAACTGTAGTTTGTACAGAAGAAATTTTAAAGTCTTTATAGTATGAACTGAAAACTGTAGTTTGAAATGAGTCTTGTCCTCGTTTCAAAGACTGAAATTTTGAAGTATTTATCGTATGAACTGATTTTTAGCCCAATTTTTTGATTGGCCTGAAAGTCTCTGAGTGAGAATGACATGTGTGGCCTAAAATGTTTTTGCTAGTTCTGTGGGGTTGACAAAATGGTTTTGTAGTGGACTTTGACAATTTGGAAGCTTATAATAGTAAACTTTGACTATTTATTGTGCTTTGTTACATATAGTTTGGTAATAGGAAGAGTATTAGAAAACCAAAAAAGATGACCACTAGCAGCAGAAATGTGCATCATTTTGTTCATCTAATTCTTGTTATTCTTCATTGTTTTAATACAGGATTTTGCACAGAAGTAGATAGCATTACCAGCACTCTATCTCTGAGGGATCCTGGGATTTTATCATCTCCAGGAGGCGTCTTGAAGTTGGGATTTTTCAGTCCTCTAAACAGCTCTAACAGGTATGTTGGTATTTGGTACAATTTTTCTGAAACGATTGTCATTTGGGTGGCTAATAGGGACAAACCTTTAAGAGATTCTTCTGGGGTTGTCAAAATATCTGGTGATGGAAATATCTTAGTTATGAACGGGGAGGAGGAGATTCTTTGGTCATCAAATGTTTCAACCTCTCAGGTAAACTCAATTGCCCTTCTCCAAGATTCTGGGAATTTTGTTCTTGTAGATCATCTGAACAATGGGAGCACAATATGGCAGAGTTTTGAACATCCTTCTGATTCAATTGTCCCTAAAATGAGATTAAGTGAAAACACAAGGACAGGGGAGAGGGTAGAAGTAAAATCTTGGAGAAGCCCTTGGGATCCTAATTTCGGAAACTTTTCTTTAGGAATGAATTCTGGATTCATTCCTCAGGTGTATATCTGGAAAGGTAGTCATCCCTATTGGCGAAGTGGTCAATGGAATGGCCAGATCTTTATCGGAGTGCAGGGTATGTATTCTGTGTCGTCTGATGGATTCAATGTAGTGAACGATCGCGAAGGTACTGTATACCTTACTGGCCCTGGTGATTTTGATTTCTTAACGAAATTTGTCTTGGATTGGAAAGGGAATTTGGTTCAATCATATTGGGATGTGAATGAGACAAACTGGAAGATAATATGGTCAGCTCCCAATAACGATTGTGAAGTTTATGGAACATGTGGTCCATTTGGGAGCTGCAATTTGGAGTCGCCGATCTGTTCTTGTCTGAAAGGTTTTGAGCCAAAGCACAGGGAAGAATGGGAAAAGGGGAATTGGACTAGTGGTTGTGTTAGGAGGAAAGCTTTGCAATGTGAAGTAAGGAATAACTCAGGGGATTCAAGTAAAGAAGACGGATTTCTAAAGATAGGGTCAATAAAATTGCCTGATTTTGCAGAAAGGTCATCGACTAGAGAAGACCAATGTAAAAGCCAATGCTTGGGATATTGTTCCTGCATAGCGTATGCATATGACTCAGGTACTGGCTGTATGTCATGGAGTAACAACTTGATTGATATTCAGCAGTTCCAAAGCTCGGGGAAAGATCTCTATATTCGCGTGGCACATTCAGAGCTTGGTATGTATAGTGGTGTTGAATAGAAGACTCATTATCCACCCAGAATAGCTTAATCAGTCATTTGAGATATCATGGACTTATTGAATTCCATATATATACATTAAGTAGCTTACTTCTGTAGAGAACTGATTTTTGTTCACCTTTTGTGATTGCTCTACATTACAGATCATCATAAAGACATAAAGAAAATTGTAATTCCAGTAATCCTTGGTTTTCTTACACTCTGTGTTTGTCTGTTCCTTTGCTGTACATGGATGGCCAGACTTAGAGGTAAAACAAGCTATAAAGTTTTAGTATTATACATTTAGAAGCACTTTGTTTGCTATAGTAGTTAATTTGTATCCCTGCTGATATTAGGAGTAAAAAGGAAGAAGATAAATTTACTTGGTGACAGAAGTGCAGTTCATATGGAAGAGTTACCAGTCTTCAGCCTCGATACGCTTGCAAATGCAACATCCCAATTCCATGAGGATAAGAAGCTTGGTCAGGGCGGTTTTGGTCCAGTTTACATGGTACAATTTTCTTCTCTCTCGATCACTTTTCAAATTTCAGTTGCTGAAATTGCTGATTACTTGTAGGGAAAATTGGAAGACGGGAAAGAAATAGCAGTCAAGAGGCTTTCAAAAGCCTCGGGACAAGGGCTGGAGGAGTTCATGAATGAAGTGTTGGTGATCTCGAAAGTCCAACATAGAAACCTTGTTAGACTTTTGGGATGTTGCGTTGATAAAGAGGAGAAGATGTTGATTTATGAATATATGCCCAAGAAAAGCTTGGATGTGTTTCTCTTTGGTTAGTCCTTGCTTTTAATAAGCATTGTACTTCTCATAGCAGTTCTTTGTTACTCCACATCTATGTTGTTCGGACTCTTCAATAATGTCGATGGATGCTTGTTAGATCCTCCAAAAGTACTGCACTTTTGGAGGATCCGACACGAGAACATCAACAATTTTGGGGAGTCTGAGCAACATTGCTCCACATTTCTTCTGAAGCAAAGTTAATCCCTTCTCCATTCATATTTGACAAACATCTAGATGAAGGCCACCGAGGCATTTTGGATTGGAGAAAACGTTCCACTATAATCGAAGGGGTTGGTCGAGGACTCCTTTATCTTCACAGAGATTCAAGATTGAAGATAATTCATAGAGATCTGAAGCCAAGTAACATTTTGCTCGATAATGACTTCAATCCAAAGATTTCAGATTTTGGCATGGCTAGGATTTTCGGATCTGACCAAGATCAAGCAGACACAAGGAGAGTAGTTGGTACTTAGTAAGTGGACATTGATCTATATCTACCATAGCTTTACACAGTTTTCTCCTGTAAAAAACCATATCATACATACTTACTAACTAATCATTTTTTACACGAATGTGCTGACATTTTTACAGTGGATACATGGCCCCTGAATATGCAATGAAAGGAAGATTCTCTGAGAAATCGGACGTTTTCAGCTTTGGAGTTCTAGTGTTAGAGATCATCAGTGGCCGAAAAAGTACAAGTTCTTGGAATGAGACATCCTCTTTTAGCCTTTTCGGATATGTAAGATTCCCTTTATATGCTACTATTCAAATACTAAAAATGCTCATACTGCAAAAACTATACAGTCAAAACATTTCTACATCGACCTCGTTTGTCCAGATATCTTTTGGTTGCTATAGTGAAATGCTATTATAGAGAACATCCAAAGTAAATTTCACCATTATAGTAACGTGTTGTTATAGTTCGATTGTGTGTACCTTATATTTTTACATTATGATGGTAGAATTACTTTTGCTGTCACTGTGTTTTATGCATCAATAAGTTTGATGATCAATTTTTCACTGTTTTCAGGCATGGATGTTATGGAAAGAACAAGATTTATCAACTTTTATCGATCCATTCATATTGAACACGAGCTCGGAAATGGAGATCAGAAAATGCATACAGATTGGTTTACTATGTGTTCAAGAATTTGCTGAAGACAGACCAAGTATTTCATCTGTTCTTGCTATGCTTACCAGTGAAACTACAAGTCTTCCTGCACCATCACAACCTGCTTTTACTGAAAGACATGATTGTATCTTCAAAATGTGCAATGTAACTAATTGTACTTTGAACAATATCAGTATCACAAACATAACTGGTAGATGACATGAGTATATGAAATTATTATTTTTAAGATATGCAAAATTATCCATTTGTCTCAATTTGTATGATATCTTTGTCATTCATTTTTCGATTACATGTTAAATATTCGTGTTGAATCAAATATCATAATCCACAAGTGTAATATGTGTTTGCCAATCACAGAATATATTATGGGATGTATTTGGAATAAAATGAAAAGGCATTTAGGTTTAATGTCAATTTGTGCAACAATACATTTTTCATTACACTATGTGCATTATTACCACTTATAGTTGACAAGCATGTTGACGTTGAGATGCTAGCTTATTGTCAAGGTCCCCACTCAATTCTCACACTAACGTGGCTTTTGGATTTTCACTCATTTTACTTTTTCGAAATAGTTTAAATATATCAATCATTATATTTCTGGTCTAAGGTTGAATTAAGCTTAGATGTCATATCTTTACATCAATACTCATTTTATTTTATTTTCTTCTTCTTTTTTCAATGAGCATTTAATAATTTAAGGAAAAGAAATGTGTTATTTCAACAAGTTAAAACTTGTCAATTCACAATGTTATTTCAGGAACATACTACACAATGATAGTGATGGGAGAAAAGACTTATATTGTCAGCGTATAGAAGTTAAACTCTACATTTTACATTATTCGTTTTTAAGTGTCAATTTTTGCATTGGCCTAAAAGTCTCGGATAGAGAATGATATGTGGTTTGTGATATTTCTATAGGGTCAACAAATTAAAAATCCTATTTGGCTGCTTGTGATATTAGACTTTGACAACATATTGTGCTTTTGTTCATATAGTGTGGTAATAAGAAAAGTCTTAGAAAACCAAAAAGATGAGCAACAGCAGCAGCAGAAGAAGAAATTTGCAATATTTTGTTCATATAATTCTTGTTATTCTTCGTTTTATCGATACAGGATTATGCAGTGAAGTGGATAACATTACCAGCATTCAATCTCTGAGAGATCCTGGAATTTTATCGTCTCCAGGAGGCGTATTCAAGTTAGGATTTTTCAGTCCTCAAAACAGTACTAATAGGTATGTTGGTATTTGGTACAATTTTTCTGTAACAACTGTCATTTGGGTGGCTAATAGGGACAAACCTTTAAGAGATTCTTCTGGTGTTGTAAAGATATCTCGTGATGGAAATGTCGTTATAACGAATGGAGAGGAGGAGATTCTTTGGTCATCAAATGTTTCAACTTCTCAGGTAAACTCAATTGGCCTTCTCCAAGATTCTGGGAACTTTGTTCTCGTTGATCATCGGGACAATATGAGCACTATATGGCAGAGTTTTGAACATCCTTCTGATTCAACTATTCCTAGAATGAGAATAAGTGAAAATACAAGGACAGGGGAGATGGTAGAAGCAAGATCTTGGAGAAGTCCTTCGGATCCTAATATCGGAGACTTTTCTTTAAGAATGAACTCTGGAGTCATTCCTCAAGTGTATATATGGAAAGGAAACCGTCCCTATTGGCGAACTGGTCAATGGAATGGACAGATCTTTATAGGAGTGCAGAATATGTATGCTGTGGTATCTGATGGATTTAATGTAGTGAATGATCGCGAAGGTACTGTATATTTTACTGGACCTATTCGTGATAATTTTTTAAGGATATTAGTCTTGGATTGGAGAGGGAACTTGGTTCAATCATATTGGAATGTGACTGAGACAAACTGGAAGATAATATGGTCAGCTCCCAGTAACAATTGTGAAGTTTATGGAACGTGTGGTCCATTTGGGAGCTGCAATCATTTGGAGTCGCCGGTCTGTTCTTGTCTGAAAGGTTTCGAGCCAAAGCATAGGGAAGAATGGGAAAAGGGGAATTGGACTAGTGGTTGTGTTAGGAGGAGTGCTTTGCAATGTGAAGTTAAGAATAACACCGCGAATTCAAGTAAAGAAGACGGATTTCTAAAGATGGAGTTGATGAAATTGCCTGATTTTGCTGAAAGGTCATCTACTTCAGAAGACTTATGTAGAAGCCAATGCTTGGGGAATTGTTCCTGCATAGGGTATGCATTTGATTCAGGTATCGGCTGTATGTCGTGGAGTGAAATGATTGACATTCAGCAGTTCCAAAGCTCGGGGAAAGATCTCTATATTCACGTGGCAAATTCAGAGCTTGGTATGTATTCTGGTACTGAATAAAAAACTCATTGTCAGTCATTTCAGATAGGCGTAATACATAAATGTGCCCTTTTACTTGGCCTCAACTCACATCTATGCTCTCATGAACACTCAAAGTTAGATGGCATGGATGTCAGCAAAGGCCAAATCAAAAGACACATTTATGTATTATGCCTTTGAGATATGTTCGACTTAATTGAATTCCATGTATTCTGTAAAGAACTGATATTTGTTCACCTTTAGTGTTTTCTGCAGATCATGGTAAAGACATAAAGAAAATCGTAATTCCAGTAATTGTTGGTTCTCTTACACTCTGTGTTTGTCTGTTCCTTTGCTATACAATGGTGATCAGACGTAGAGGTAAACATGCTAATAAGTTTTTGTATTACACATTAAGAAGCACTTTGTTCGCTATAGTTAACTTGTATTCCTGCTGATATTAGGAGTGAAAAGAGAGGAGGTAGCTTTACTTGGTAACAAAAGTCCAGTTAATATGGAAGAATTACCAGTCTTCAGCCTCGATACGATTGCAAATGCAACATCCCAATTCAATGAGGATAATAAGCTTGGTCAGGGCGGTTTTGGTCCAGTTTACAAGGTACGAGTTTCATCTCTCTCGATCACTTCCCATAATTCAAGTTACTGATATTGGTGATTCCTTGTAGGGGAAATTGGAAGATGGGAAAGAAATAGCTGTCAAGAGGCTCTCAAAAGCCTCGAAACAAGGGCTGGAGGAGTTCATGAATGAAGTGTTGGTGATCTCGAAAGTCCAACATAGAAACCTTGTTAGACTCTGTGGATGCTGTGTCGATAAAGAGGAGAAGATGCTGATTTATGAATATATGCCAAAGAAAAGCTTAGATGTGTTTCTCTTTGGTTAGTCCTTGTTACTTCTCATCTGCATTACTCCACATCTATGTTGCTCGGACTCTTCAATAATGTTGATGGATGCTTGCTAGATCCCCCAAAAGTACTGCATTTTTGGAGGATCCAACATGAGTACATCAGCATTCTGAGCAACATTACTCCACATTTCTTCTGATCCTTTTGTTTAAATTCTCCATTCATATTTGACAAACATCTAGATGAAGCACATCGAGACATTTTGGATTGGACAAAACGTTCCATTATAATCGAAGGAGTTGGTCGAGGACTCCTTTATCTACACAGAGATTCAAGATTGAAGATAATTCATAGAGATCTAAAGCCAAGTAACATCTTGCTCGATAATAACTTCAATCCAAAGATTTCAGATTTTGGCATGGCTAGGATTTTCGGATCTGATCAAGATCAAGCAGACACAATGAGAGTAGTTGGTACTTAGTAAGTGATCATTTATCTATATACAATACCATAACTTTGCATAATTTAACTACTCGAATCGTACTGACATATTTACAGTGGATACATGGCACCCGAATATGCAATGGAAGGAAGATTCTCAGAGAAATCCGATGTTTTCAGCTTTGGAGTTCTAGTCTTAGAGATCATAAGTGGTCGAAAAAGTACAAATTCTTGGACTGAGACATCCTCTTTGAGCCTTTTGGGATATGTAAGACTCCTCTTATAGTTGCTATAGCGAAATGTTTGTTATAAAGAACGTATAATATAACATAACATGAAGAATCAGTTCCAAAAAAGAACTTGGCTGTTATATAATGAAATGTTATTATAGAGGACGACTATTATAAAGAGGTCTGACCGACTATATCATGTACCTTATATTTCAGGCATGGAAGTTATGGAAAGAACAAGATTTATCAACTTTTATCGATCCGTTTATATTGAATCCGAGCTCGGAAATAGAGATCAGAAAATGCATACAGATTGGTTTACTATGTGTACAAGAATTTGCTGAAGACAGGCCAAGTATTTCATCTGTTCTTGTTATGCTTACTAGTGAAACAACAAGTCTTCCAGCACCATCACAACCTGCTTTTACTGAAAGAAGACACTTCAGAATGTGCAATGAAAATAGAGAAACTAAGTTTACTTTGAACAAAATGAGTATCACAAACCTTACTGGTAGATAACATGAGCATATGAAATTACTTTTTAAAGATTTGCACAATTGTTATAGTATGATCCATTCGTCTCAATTTGTATGATACCTTTTGTTTCAAAATGTTTGACAATATTGGGTCCGTGTAAAGCACAGAATATTTGTTATTAGTTACAAATAGAATTAGGGTAAGATATCACACCTGGTGTTTGTACTAAGTCGTATAAATTTACTATAAGGTAAATAATTTAAAGAGGCGAGAATACATATTAAAATAATCAATGATTAAGTGTTAAAATTCTAGGTGTAAACACATGTCATACATTTATTGACTTGTTATAAACACCAAGTCTAAATAATTTTTAACTAAAACGGAACAATATTAAAACCTAAGAAATTGGTTTTATCATCCAATGATACCTAAAATGCAAATGGTCTGATATGTTTCTTCAACTTTATTATAAGTGAGCACTTTTAATTTCTATCGAATATTTAGTAAAACAGTTTTGGAAGATTTGATGTAATAGTGGGCGGGGAGGGGAGATAAGTTTCTCATTACATGAGCCTAAACTACAAATTATAATGCTCTTCATCACATGAGACTAAATAGTAAGTCGCAATAAACCTCATCGCATGAGCCTAAACTTTTTTTAAATGTGTAAAACAGAAAATGAAAATATTCTTTTTTAGACAGACAATTATGAATTATATATATTTTACTTTTTATTACTCTATATTAGAAGTGATAGTATGAGGAGCTTGGATTAAGCTGGTTGCTTAGGTCATTTGTATAATATTTTTGGATAATTTAGTCATTTTTGCTCATATATTGTGGAACGTGTGTTTATATGTATATTTAGATGTTTCATTTTGTGTTTTAATGATAAACTAACAAATCATTTCCACTATTTATATTCAGTAGTTTTGTTTTAAATTATATGTCTTACTTTCATTTTTAGTATGTTATATATTCAAATTATTAAAAAACAGTACTATAAATTATAATAATTTACTATTTAAAATACTTAAAAAATATATTAAAAATTTGATTGGCTCTAGAAATTTTATATATGTCAGATAAATTGGGACATATCAACTAACATATATTATTTTAAAATTATATAAGAAAATATATATTGTAAATCATAATAATTAACCGTTTAAAATATTTAAAAATTAAATAGCCACATAAATTGAGATAAATGAAGTAATATATTGCTTAGGATCTGTCAGAATATACTCCGATTTGTCCTTCTACTCCAATTTGTTCTATTTATATTATTCACTACTATCACCGTCCAAATCGCATACTCTCTAATATTTTATAGATAGATGGAAACAAATTTGTTTATAACAAGAGGGAAAATAATGTTATATCAATTTTGTACAGTGGATACGCTAGTTTTAAATCTAGACAGGATAAGAATGGAGTTTTGGTCTTACAATAACATCTCTATACCTATCTTTCTAAAATCTATGAACTTATATATATTACTATTAATATTATTATTATTTCTTATTTTTTGTTGTGTATATTGAAGATAGACTATATTAAAATTTATATTAGAAAAAAACTAACAAACATGATTTTGTATCTAGAAAAACTTACATTATCCATGGTATAGTATATTAGTTTAAATAATCATAGTCTTTGTTTTCATTGTTATTTACCGTTTAACAATAATTTTTTTTTACTTTTGTGTAACGATTGATTTTGTGTGATCACATTCTCATTTTGTCTTTACTCATTATTTAATAAGTTCATTTTGTTCTTGACATTTTTTTTATAACAATCATATCTCATACCCCACTTTTTCGATAGATTTATCGTTAAAACATATGTGAAATTATGTAACATATACAATCTATCTAAATATTATATTTATTAATAAAATATAGTATAATATGTTATGAAACAATACGTAACCATCATTCAAATAAAATTTAAATTTCAAAAAACTTTTAATTAAAAATAAAAAAATACTTATTTTTGGTTTTATTATGCTTCAAGGTATCAAAGTAGTAAACGTAAAGATAATATTCGGCTGTTTATGTTTTTTTATTAAATTGCATTTATATTAAATTGCTTTCATTGGAAGTTGAAAAAATAAATAAATTGATAAAATGGTCTCTCTTTTCTCTCTTTCTTAAAAGGGTTTCTGTCATCTCTCTCTCTCTTCCTTTCTCTCTCCTTGAGTTCTATCTCTCTCCTCTCACCTCTGTCTCTCTCTCTCCTGAAAGGAAAAAAAACCCTACGAGGTGTTTACCAACAAGTAAGTTTCTCTCTCCCTGCCTTTCTCTTTCTCTCTCTATATATCTCTTTCTTTAAAAATTTGGACTTTTTTTTCTTTATATGTTTTATCTCTTTCCTTCATTTGATTTTTTTTGTTGAAAAACATATGTACTTGTCTTTGCATGCTAATTTCATTTTGATGAGTTTTGTTGGTTTAATCTTGGATCTGTTTTTGTGTATGTTGTTTGTGTCAGATCTGTGTTGGAGAACACAAAGATTCAATTTTTATTTGTGGGTTTGCATTTCTATTGAATTCTATGTTGATTTTGAGTACCCATTTGTGGATTTTTAGATTTATGAAAGATTGTATTTAATTGCTTCATAGCTGATCTGGAAATTCTAATTTTGTTTGTGGGTTTTTGTTTCTAGTGGCTGAAATGTTGAATTTGGTGAGTTTTGGGTGCTCATTTTGTTTGTGGGTTCAAAAAATTTGATCTGGAAAACCCAAAAGATTGTATTTTTATTTGTGGGTTTTTGTTTCTAGTGGCTGAAATGTTGAAGTTGATGAGTTTTCGGTGCTCATTTTGTTTGTGGGTCAAAAAATTTTGTTGGGGTTATTGAAATTTTGATCTGGAAACTCAAAAGATTTTAACTTTATTTGTGGGTTTTTGTTTCTGGTGGCAGAAATGTTGAATTTGATGAGTTTTGGGTGCTCATTTTGTTTGTGGGTTCAAAAATTTTTGTTGGGGTTATCAAAAATTGTATCTGGGAATTCAAAAGATTCTAACTTTATTTGTTGGTTTTTGTTTCTAGTGGCTGCAATGTTGAATTTGATGAGTTTGAGGTGCCTAATTTGTTTTGGGTGCAAATATATGAGTTGGGGGTATGGAGATTTGTTAAATTTTCTAGTTATACATTTCATTTCTATTGAAAGGTTGATGAAATTGCATCTGAATTGGAATGATGGCAATGACAATGGGTATGGGTAGATTTGATCGATTTGCAACTGGCATTTATCTTTGGGTTTCTGGATCTGCTCATATTATATGCTTGGTTGACTTGATTTTGTTATTTCCTATTCCATTTCAAATCTTGATGGTTTTGTTATGTTGGATATATTCCTAATCTGAGTCTTTGAAGTGTGTGTAGATTAGTAATTTAATGCATTTTTGTTGGGCATTTCTAATTATGGCAAAAAAGTTAATGTTAAGTGGTGATGTTTGGATTGATCTGTAGTTTACTGATGGATGACGACGGATTGAATATGAGGAACTGGGGTTATTATGAACCTTCCCTTAAAGGGCATCTAGGTCTTCAGCTGATGTCATCGATGGTTGATCGAGATGCAAAGCCTTACCTTACCAGGCGTGAGAATCCCATTATGCTCGGTGCTAATGGGGTGTTCCATTCTCGGGATTCTATCATCCCAGAAGCACCTTTATCTCACATTGACTATGTAAGGGACAGTTGGATAAATCACAGAGACAAATTTCTTCATATGTTTCCGGGGAGTCCTTACACTTCAGTTCTCCCCGATGCTTCTGCAAGTACTCCCATGCAAATGGTACAACAACCTGATACAACTAAGGATGCGGGGGTGAATGCTGAGGAACCAAGTGTTAAGAAAGAAAGTGGTCCTTCAAAGAGAAAGACTGGTGGTGCCACTCCCAAAGCTCCCAAAGCGAAGAAGTCAAAGAAAGTGTCATCCACACCTAAGGAAAATGGCAACCCCTCTCAACGAGCAAAACCAGCAAAGAAGAGCATGGACATTGTATTAAATGGAATTGATATGGACATTTCTGTCATTCCTATACCAGTTTGTTCCTGTACTGGTTCTCCTCAGCAATGCTATCGATGGGGATGTGGTGGCTGGCAGTCAGCTTGTTGCACCACTAGCATATCAATGTATCCACTTCCAATGAGTACTAAAAGACGCGGAGCAAGGATTGCTGGAAGAAAGATGAGCCAGGGAGCATTCAAGAAGGTTTTGGAGAAACTTGCTGCTGAAGGATACAATTTTGCTAATCCAATTGATCTGAGGACTCACTGGGCCAAACATGGTACCAACAAGTTTGTGACAATCAGGTAGACTTACATAGAGGGTACCATTACAGACTGCCAATGCGTCTTGTTTGTTTACTTGTATATCCCTGGGGCCTTTGCAGAGGTTTACTTGGTACCTTTCTGTAGTCCGTGACGATACATGTTTAGACTTTGATATTTTAATTTTCAGCAACAGTTGTTTAATTTTTCATTTTGTTGCTTTGGTAGTGGGCACTCTGCTCTGCCTGCCAACAGTAGGATGTTGAAAATTTCTTTTCTTGATCGGATGTTTTTTAAGATGAGCATGTTCATCCATTTATTTTTACTCCTGTCAGTTATCTCTTTCTGATACTTATCGAAAAAGAAAAAAATCTCTTTTGAAGACCATCCACTCTGTTTGATTTTCTTTGCACCTTTAGTCCTATAGAGTGTTTTTGTCATGAGTGATGCCTTTTGTTTAGATGATTAGATGGATGTCTTCTAATGTGTTTGCAACTTTCTGCTTGAGATTGGTTTTTAGATGACTTGTCTTAGCTTGACAAATCTGTTGTTATCACCTCAGTAACTTACAGTTACATAGCTTGTGGCTGATAACTGTTGTGAGTACAAGCAATCTTAAGATTGACTTGTGCTTCGACTTTGTGACTTTGTGTAGATGTTGGTGGCGGTCAACTATTGTGAAAATATAACAATCTTAAGATTGTAATTTGCATCGACTTGTAAGTATGGGTTGGTCCTTGTCACACTATTTGAGTCAGTGATAATGTAAAGTTTCTTAATTTGGGGTGTGGCTGAACTTTTCCAGTCACTAACTTTCCGAACATGGATTCAAGTACATGTGACTGGGAAGGTTTCTTGATCATCACGAACGTGCAAAGTAAGATACATCCTTTTTTTGGAAGTTTATTTATATACTTGTCTCTGCCTGTAAGTAGGCTTGATTACAGTTATAGCTTGGATTTCATTTACGTAGCATATGTTTTCTTGTTTTCATGTGAAATCTCATTTTGGTGCATAATTCTTATGTAAAATTGTATGCATGCCGGCAAGTTAGCGTAGAAAATATTATGCATAATCATTATCATCAACTAAAGCAATATTGAGTACCGAAGTGATGCAACAAGCAAAATAGCTTCTAGTGCAGATGTGTATGAATTTGTCATGACACATTGATGTTATTGTTCCGAACTGACCTCTTAAGCTACTGTTGCTGACTTCTTGAAGGTAGTTTCCAACTCTATTCTATTATCTAAAGACACATATAGATGACTGTATGGCTGATTTGCATTGTTTTCATTTCATAGTATAAAATATAGAACTGTTGGTCTTGGAGCTGTTTTGTATTCTTATCTGGTGTGCTTGTAAGATGATAAGTTGTTGATTGAAGTGTTTTGAAGGAAATATAACTTTGGTGAAATCCAACAGTGCCTTGTTATGTGGAGATAAGATTCCAAATGCCATATTAGAGCTCTAGGCATGGTCTAAAGTTGCTGTTTTTGTGTCAACATTCTTATTGTAGATGTTCTTGGTTTTGCATTTTGATAGTCTGAAATGCGTAAATGTGATGCCGTGACGGTGACTATTTTGCTGTCTTATCTCAGGCTGTGTGACAATAGTAATGTTCTTTCCTTGTCATGCTGTAAAATTTATATGTCACAACTCATTTTAAAGTCTAAGTGGCACTTTTTTCTGTGAAGATTGTAGTTTTTTTTTGGTAATAAAGATGATTAGTTTCTTAATTGGAAGAACTGAATTTTACTAATCACAAACTTACCAAATATGAACTCAAGTTAGGATGCTTAACTTCTTGCAAGAAATTAAAGTTGTGATTTGGGAGACTTGTTTTCATGAATGTGAAAGTATGACTTACTTTTAATGCATTGGCTTATGTTTTCTTGTTTTCATATGCATCTTCTATTATCTTCAAGATTTCATTTCATTTCATTATATCATTTAGTATAAAGATATGCATTTTGGCATGTTGTTAGTGCTTCGAATTATGTTATTTTTTCCCCATTGGTCCAAGCCATGGTGGACGAACTCGGGTACTTGGTGGGAGGTACCTTGTAGAATTAGTCAAGGTGCATGCAGGTTAACTCAGTTATTACATTTTAAAAAAATATTGACGAGGGGTGCGACGGACAACAATCTTTTCACCAAAGGTAGAGGGATTTGTGATTAGGTTATAGGTTTGAGCCTCGCTTTGTACGAACTAAGCTTGGTAATTATGTGGAGAAATATAGAGGGATCGGTCTATTATCCCCAAGTTTTGAAAGTTATGGTTGCTTCAAAAGTTGGTTCCTGACCTGTGGCGGATCCAAGATTTTTAACTTGTCTGTTACCTTGCACACATGCATGAAATCTATTTGCTTGGAAATATCCGTGCTAACAAAACGTTTAGCCCTGACTCAAGGCGTTCACATTGCAATCATATTCGTTTATACCTCAAAAAGTTTGCTTGGTTCCTATAGTTTTTTTCCCCACAATTCCGTCAAATCTAACGGAAGTGTTTTACTAATTTGATATACATAAAAAGATCACTTTTGATAAACTTAATAGCCAAAATTATTTAATTTGAATTTACTCCTAAATATATTGAACCATTTTTGTCATTTTCTTGCTGTCACACCATTCACATTTTAGAAAGTTAGCAAGCAAAATGATAATTTATACTTGTTTTAAAAAATAATTTCTTAGGTTTTAATATATGTTTTTAGTTTTGACGTTTCGAATGATCGAAGAATTTTACTTATGAATTTTATCATAAACCTGTCACTCCCACTATTATAAGTTCTGCTCACGAAATCTTAGACATAATAAGAAATTACCTAGAAATTTTTTTATCTCAATTAAAACTTCAACATGATTTTGAAGTTTGCACCCACTTCATTGACCGTTAATCTTGATTTGATTGTGTCCTAACTTGACTGGCACTCGTTGTATACCTTGATTTACTCTATAAGAATGAAATTAGTGCGCAAAGACATATTACACTTATGGATTATGATATTTGATTGAACATGAATACTTAACATGTAATAGAGAAATGAATGATGATATCAAGTATTTTGAAACGTCATAGCACTAAAAAGGTGTCATATAAATTGAGATAGATGGATTATCACGTACAAATGCTCATGTTATCTACCTTTAAGGTTTGTGATACTCATATTGTTCAAAGTAACATATTAGAAAATCAGTGTTTCTTGCAATTCTTTGATCCTCATTCTTCACAATGTTTTGCTAAGTATCATATTTCTTCTTTCACTTGGAAAGCTCATATTTCTTTTATGGCTGAACATTCGTCCTCGATCATTTTATCAGACTTAGAGGGATTCTTGGCATCACTTTGATGATGATGATCAAGAGTAATCATAGTTTTTCTTCTACTCGAAGAGCTCATGATAGACGCGGGAAAACTGGATGAAAGAAAATGTGACAAGCCATCCGTGTCTGTTAATAACAGAAAACCAAAATTAGTTCCAACGTACCACATAGATAGTATGGAATAGGGCACCTATGTCCAGCTCGAGCCTATATGACATGAACGATCAATAGATCCACTTTTGCCATATATTGCATACATAAGTACACCACATAGATATCATATTCATGGAATACGATTCATTTTCAAGATGCCTTGGTGGTGAAATGGTAGACACGTGAGACTCAGTATCTCATGCTGAAGGACAATAACACAAAATCTAACAGTTGAAATTAGAAAGTATAAGGTTTGGTTTGAAACTCACATTTAAAAAACTGAAAGATGAAATTGCAGGCGTCTGAAGGAGAGACCATCTTTTTCTCTAGCTTGTTCCGCAGTCCATAAGTTATAGCATGCAACTCCTTACCTTTAAAATCATCGCTCCCATGGAAAATCTTTTGAACATAGTCAAGCTCTTTAATTAGGATTTCTTGATCCCAGTCCTTTGCACAACATCTATACATTTCTTTAGCAAACCGAAACATTTCACTAGAATGACTACAACCAAGACAGTGAAATTGCATCTCAGTTGTTCCAGATGGACCGTTGATACTTGGACCTGGTGTTATAAGATTTCTGTGTATAGCACAAACAACATGACACCAGTGCACACATAGATCACAGCCTACCCAACTGCAAGTACCATTGGCATAATCTAAGTTCAAACATACTTGACACATACATACATTGCAGAATCCCTTGTTTTCCGAACAAATTCTGCACTTACAATTATCAACAGGTAACACTCTCTTGCAGTAAATGTTTCGACACCTTTCAAGAGAAAAAATCTGAATCAATTCAGTGGCTTGAAAGTGGTTTTCGGAAGATAAGAAGGTTACAAGTCCCATCTTTATGGCAACTAAAATTTCCAGTTGAGTCTTGTTACACTTCGAAAGAGTCTCAAAGGTAAGATCAGATCTCCCATTAAGCCTGTTCTGAAGGCTGACCAACAAATCTTTATTCTCAGGAATTGCAATTAGGCTTCTCAAGTATTCCTTTGTTGATTCGACTGTTTCATCAGGAAGCTCTTGCATAATCTGAGCCATAAGAGGAACAGACTCTGAAACTACTTCTCCAAGGATTCTCAAATCACCTGATTGATCATCAATTACTGGTCTAGCAGGCAACTCGAATAGGAAAAACGAATTACTATCCGAGCTACTGATCCTATCAGTATCATTATCACATATTTCCTTATTGACCTTTTCACAACTTAGAGCTAATCTACTTCCATCAGGATGACCTGGCAATGTACAATCTCCTGTTTCAACTTTCCTAAACTGGCTAAAATCGGACCAATTAATTCCCTCCCCGGAATACTCACTTTCATCTTCTGAACTCAGTGTAAGTGAGTAGCTAAGGTTGTGGGAAAACGGATGGGAATAGCACGACGACAAGGAACCATTCCTGAAATACCCAATCCTTGTGTTGTTATTTGATGGTTCTGGTGATTGTAGACTCCTGCTACTGCTAGTACTAGGCAAAGCCAAAGAAAGATCCAAGATTCCATCTTTTGCCTTCTTATCTGTAATTTCTGCTAAAATTTCCTCATTCTCAAGAACCCCTACAGAGGAAAGATCCAAGATTCCATCTTTTGCCTTCTTATCTGTAATTTCTGCTAAAATTTCCTCATTCTCAAGAACCCCTTTAGAGGAAAGATCCAAGATTCCATCTTTTGCCTTCTTACCTACAAATTCTGCTAAAATTTCCTCATTCTCAGCTACCCTTTTAGAGGAAAGATCAAAGATTCCACCTTTAAGCTTCTTTTCACTAATTTCTACCAAAATTTCCTCATTCTCAGCTACCCCTTTAGAGGAAAGATTCAAGATTCCACCTTTAAGCTTCTTTTCACTAATTTCTGCCAAAATTTCCTCATTCTCAGCTACCCTTTTAGAGGAAAGATTCAAGATTCCACCTTTAAGCTTCTTTTCTCTAATTTCTACCTGGATTTCCTCATTCTCAGCTACCCTTTTAGAGGAAAGATCCAAGATTCCATCTTTAAGTTTCTTTCCTCTATTTTCTACTAAAATTTCCTCATTCTGAGCTCCCCTTTTAGAGGAAAGATCCAAGATTCCACCTTTAAGCTTCTTTTCTCTAATTTCTACCTGGATTTCCTCATTCTCAGCTACCCTTTTAGAGGAATTCCCTTTATACTCATTTAACTTAAGAAAATCTCTATCTACCCATATGTTGTTTTCGTCATTTTGATCCTCAAATACAACTATTTCCTTTCCCTTATTACAGTCCATTTTCATTTGGGATGCTGATTCTTCAAGAAAATGAACACCCTTTTCTTGAAACTTCCCAAATCTATTCTCATCAATGCTATCCATATTTTTGTTCATAGATTCACTACTATTATTTTTATATTGAATTGTTCATACAATCACTTTTGAAGGAACAAATGGAAAGTCAAAGAGGGACTAAAAAAACTCAGATAGAGAAAGGTGACTTGAAAAAGCAAATTGAACAGCACAGAGAGAAGTTTCAAGCTAAGAGTTTCTTGGGATTCAAAATACTTTAGTCAAGGATTGTGTATACTATATGCAAGGTAAAATATTATTATTTTTGGTTTCCCACCCGATGTTTGAAGCCCACATTGGAGCCTCGACTAAATTCGGACAGCACAATGCAGGGCCCATTCGCGGGTAGCGCTCCCAACATGATTTTCTCCATACTCAGGGCTCGAACTCGGGATCTCTGGTTAAGGGTGAAGCACTCCAGGTAAAATAAGTTATTCACGTGGTTTAGTGGTAAGATGTGTTTACGCTCTACTATGTTAGACCTCATACATCACTTGTGAGATTTCACTGGATATGTTATAGGACTATTAGTAGTTCGGTACATAATGAATGCTCTTTATTATAATAGTTTAGCAAATTGAAGGGGGAAAAAAAGAAGTTAATTGCATATCTAAATGATATGGATTTAAAAATATGCTAAGGTTAATATTTAAATTGACACCTAATGCTTGCATGGTTTTGTAATTTCTGATATTTTATTTTCTTTGCTTCTTCTAGATTTTAGACTTTTTTAGTCAAAATCTTCGTATTAACACTCTTTATAAGCGTTTTTAACGCGCACTTTAGTCATATCAGTTAAATCAAATATTAATACAACTATGTGATCAACAGTTAAAAGCGTTTATTACGTGTGTGTTTATAGTAAGTAAAGGAGAAATCAACTTGCATAGAACAATTATTTGTGTATTAAACCTTTAAGTCAATAAAAGTTACATTTCGAGTCATCCAAAAGATAAATAAATTAAAACGAAAGAAAATAATAATAATGTATAATAAAAACTACAAAAAAGAATTCCACCACAAAAAACTCTTCCAACAAGAAAAAGAACATCAAGAGAAAGAAGGAAAAAACAGGGGAAACAGAGCAAGGAATATCAAACTAGCAATGAGGCTATGGAGAAAGGTTTCCGGATTGCTTAAAGATCAAAATAGCGTATGGATTGCTAGCTTATCGAGACGTACAGCTCTCCGGAATCCAGACATCGAGGCTGCTGTTATAAAAGCTACGAGCCACGATGAATTCTCCATGAACATGAAGAATGTTGATCGCGTATTTAGATGGCTTCGTTTGTCATCGACTAATCTTAAGCCTCTCATTTGGGCTATATCTATTCGAACAGAGAAAACAAAGAGTTGGGTTGTTGCAATTAAGGTTTTGATATTAATGCATGGTCTATATAGCACTAGGCTTCCTTGTGTCCAAAGAATTGGGAGGTTGACATTTGATCTCTCTAATTTCGAAGATGGACATTCAAGAAACATCGAAATGCAGGGGATAAACGAGTTCATTCGTGCTTATTTCATGTTTCTTGATCAGAAATCTTACTTTCTCTTCATGGAAATGGAGGAGAAAAGAAGCATGGTGAAATTGAACAAGAACATGGTGATGCAAAATCTTGAAAATGAAGAAAAAGAGAATTATTCGATGGCTCAGGATCTTGTTTTACTCGAAAAATTGCAGACATTGCTAGATATGTTACTTGAGATTAGGCCATTATCAGACTCTTCTATTGTCCCTCTTATTCTTGAAGCTATGGATTGCGTTGTGACAGAGATTTTCGATGTTTACAGCAGGATTCGCCTTGGTATTGCTCGTGTTTTATCAAGGATTAACGTAATTGGTAAAGTTGAAGCTACATTGGCTCTTAAAATCATTAAAAAGGCGAATATACAAGCTGTAGAATTGTCTCTATATTTCGAGTTTAACAGAGATATCGGGGTGAGAAATGCTGAAATATGTCCAATAGTAGACCAAATCCCAAATGAAGAAATCAAAGAACTCGAAGAAATCATCAAGGGGGCTTCAGATACATCCGAAAAGATTGATGAAATCAATCAAGACATTGTGATTTACGAAAAGATGGAGTCTGAAACCAAATTGAAGACGATAATTACTAATCGTTGGGAGACTTTTGATGAAGAACATGGTGGTGATGACTCTTCTGCTATAGTCAAATTTACATCAAGAATAAATCCTTTTGCAGATTATTCGGAACTTACTAGCTCGACTAATAATGTACCTGTTAAACCTCAAGAATTGCCGGATTTAATTAGCTTTACGTAGCAATGATCACTCCAAGATTCTTGGTTTTCATGGATGAACATCAAATATAATGTGTAACAAAAGCTTAATAGTATCAAACAAGAGAGAAAAGAGACATTTTTTCTTGTATTGATAATTTTTTATATAATATATACTTATGTAGATAGAATTTTTCAAAGGAAATATTGTTATGTTATGTCATATATGTGTTATCATCTAAGCTGGTGTTCAAGATAATCCTTTGTTCCATAGCATTGGGGCTAGTAATTTGAACATGGTATGAAATATAATACACTCATTTAAGAATTATTAATGTGTCAAGATCGATTAAAGATTTGATTTCCTTCCCCCTCACCTTTTACTGATTCTATTCATCAGGATATTCTACGTTCATCAAGCTCGCAAACTAGCAATTGACTTAAGGATTATTATTGATGGTTTTAACGAAAATAAGAAGCTCCTAAAGTACGATGTTTGGTTGCTAGTTTACAGTTTCACACAATTAAAACATGTACAAATTGCGAGTGTGTATTATTTTATAGGTAATAGAAGATGAAAATAACTAATACATGAATTAATAAATTCGGCAAAACTATACCCTACATAACAACCGACTCGGTGTAATCCCATAATTGGGGGACTGAGAGGATTTTGTGTATGCTAACCTTTTACACTAATCCTCAACATTTACATCCTCCTATTTGTTAGGACCGAAATAATTAGATGTCATGTGGAAGCTAACAAAGTAAACCTTGAAAGACCACGAGTAAGAATACAAACGAAAATATACCATAAGACACAAAAATTTAACATGGTTCGGTCAATCGACCTACATCAACAAGGGAGATGAGTAATCCACTATATAAATATGAGCGTACAAAATATAGAGAGAAATAACCTCACCTAATTCACTCGGACATCCACAAGGGAGATGAGCAATCCGCTATATAAATATGAGCGTACAAAATATAGAGAGAAATAACGTCACCTAATTCACTCGGACATCCACAAAGGAGATGAGCAATCCACTATATAAATATGAGCGTACAAAAATATATAGAGAAATATCTCACCTAATTCACTCGGAATATAAAGAGGTTCACACAAGCGATAACGTATCACTTGTGTCCCACAAATTCTCCCCTCTAACCAAAACTCTCAAAGCCCCTAGGACTACATTGTGAATGCTGATTAAGTTAGACGGAACAAGCCTCTATTTATAGAGTCCTATCTCTTTTCCTACAAGAAAATGACTAGCCAAATATGGAGACTTTATGTTTTTCTTTTAGGAAAAGGAAAATCCATTTATGGTAAGAAACTCATGGCAAATACCCAACACTATCTAGAGTCATGTCACCGATAAGTTGTAGGTTTATCATGTCTTGTCGCTAATTACCTTTCACAAATACTTATTTGGCCTACCTCTGCCCCTCTTCATACCTATAACAATCAACTCTCACACCTTCTAACTTGCATTTATGCATCTTCTCTTTACAAGTCTAAATCATCTCAGCAGCTCAACCTCGTCTCCCTCAATCTGTCCACCACAAAAGTCACTTATGTCTTCGCTACTAATTCTATTTCTCCTAGTATGTCACAAATACATCTCAACGTCCTCATTTTCATTTTTATCATCTTTTGGACATGCACATACGCTCTTGATTGACCAACACTCCACCATACGTTATAACTAATATAACAACCACTTTATAAGACACACCTTTAAATTTCTAACGACACATTCTTATAACTAACACTTACATAACTTCATTTTGCAACCAAACAATCCCTTAAAGTTTTTTTTTTTCTAGTTTCTTCACACTTTTTTCCTTCCTAACTAGAATACATACTTTTCACTCTAACTACCACATGCTTTGAAAAAGTTCCATTTATCTACCCACAAAGTTTAATGATTAGTGATTTTGACACAGCACCAATATCTTCTTCATCATACAAAAGAACAAAAAAAAAATCATAGTGTACTATGAACATTCACTATATTTTCCTTAAAAATTCAGTACCTTTCTGCAATTCTCAGAGGACTAAAATCCATTACTCTTACACTTTTGAGACCCCTTTAAGTACAAATGGATGTAGTAACTTTTGGCATAATAATAGGAATAATAATACTATTCTTCTGTGCTGTTTGTGTAATCACCATAGAAGGCACTTGCAAGAACCGCTCTTCTTGATTTCTAATACCCTTTATCCAAACACGCCCTTATCATCTTACCCTTCCATAAATTTAGGGTTTTTCCCTGATTTTGTTCTTGCCCAAATTGACAAAATGTCGAAAATTGATGCTTTGGTGAAACAGATCTGCTTCTTCTTGATTGTTTCTACTTCTTTATGGGTAGTGGTTTTTGGGTCTTCTGTAGAAGCGAAGGTTCTAGAAAATTCCAAGCAGGAATTTCATCAGTGTAATCATGGTCATGGTCATCATGGCCATGAGGGGCATCATCATAATGATCATCATCACCATGATCATGATCATGGGTCGAGTGGAGTTGACCAGAGGAAGCTTTTAGAGGAATTGGCTGAAGAGGAGGATCTGAAACTGTATGGATTTGGGTCTCATGGTAATATGGATGAACATCATCATCATCATGATGGACGTGGAGTCAAGGATCTTACTGGTCTTGGTAAATTTTGTTCCTTTTGAAAAATTCAAGCTGAATCTTGGAACCCCTTTTGAGTTTTTAGCTCACTGTAAACTGTGGCTTATCGTATTATATATTAGTGCTTATTTATGTCGTTTTGATTTGTGCTTTGGACTTTAGCATACCCCAAACTGTTGAATTGTGGAATGTAAGGGTCAAAATGGAGTGAAATGAATAGTGAAGATTCATAGAACTGACACCAAGCTTAGGATTGAGGTAGTTGTTGTTGGATTTTGGCAGGTTC